ACGGTTACAGGATAATTCGTTTTATTCTTCTGCCCAGACCGCGCGTTAAATGTAGGTTTTTTGTTCGTATTTTCTAGTTTAATTTTCGTACGACGTACTTAGTATCGTTGGTACAGGTACAATAATTAGCATGCTCACGCATTCGTGAGATATGTATTATGGGATGTGCAATATCAAAATAATTTGGAATCACATAACCTTTGTTGTTGCTGTTTTTTGTACCATCTTCAATCTTTGACTATATATTCCTTGATCCACCCTTGAAGAACTCGTGTGCTGATTTACCCGATGGAAACATGGTCATTATCGAGTTCTGGTTCTGGAATTTTCTAAGCTGAATGTAGAATGTTCTTGCATTTGTGCAAGACCTGATTGTGGCTGGTAGGCTATTCCACACGACAGCGAATCTGACGAGGAAGTTTGTTCGGATAGCTGTCCTGGTTCTCGACACATAATGTGCAGGTCTTGTTGCGTATTTTCCGAGTAAATTTATGTTGCATTTTAAGTGTACACAGATTGGAGTATGTCTTTTGGTTTATAAGATTGTGTATCAGCATCAGGTTATGTTTCAGTCGTCGCAACCAAAGGGGTTCGAGCTTAAGCTGTTGGCAGCGCTCCTGATAACTCAAGGTGGTTGATTTACTGAACAAGCGCTTAGTGAATTGTCTTTGCAGATTTTCTACAGCTTTCATGTCGCCCATTCGCATGTTCTCAGATGATGCTGCAGTATTCAAGGACTGGAAGTGTATTTTGAAAAGCTCGAGTCCGGCAGGGGTTGTATAGGTTTTATGGCATATGGTAGCCGCAGATCGTTTGGCACGTGGTATTTGTTACCCAGCTTGCTTTGAGAAATTAAAGTTTGAGGAGTATCGCATGTCTAGATTAGTTGGTTAGTTGGTTAGCTTCACACAAATACGTTCACTGTTGAGTTTTACTGACTCCTCAGGGATTAGACATTCGTGTGACATAATGCATACTTTACTAGCCGAGAAATTTAACATCCATGTGTTGCACCATTTCTCAAGTGCATCGAGGCCTTCTTGAACGCGCAGCATTGCGCTATTGAGTTCGTCTCGTCGAAATTTATAAACAATCTTTATGTCATCGGCGAACAAAAACGGTCTGCCATGTTTTATGAACACCGTGATGTCGTTAATATAAAGCAGAAAAAGGGAAGGACCAAGTACACTTCTTTAGATGATACCACTAGAGATTGGATGTTGGGAGGATTTATGATTACCCAGAGGGACTATCTCGTAACGCCCAGTTAGGTATGATGTCAGCCAACCAAATAGTGGGTCTCTGATTCCAAACAACTCTCTTCTTTTCAGTTGCCGCTTGTGGGGCACTCTGTCGAATGCTTTCTGTATATCCAGGAACTGTATTATAACTGCATATTTCGAATCATTGGTTTCTGTGATGTAATCCTGTTAGTGCAACTGATACGCTGTACAGGAATGTTTATCGAGGAACCCATGCTGGGATTTGTTAAGTAGTCCATGACAATGGATAAAGCCCATGATTTCACTTTTAACTAATTTTTCGAGTAATCTGGCGATGACAAGGAAGTATGATAGATAGGTCAATAGGCGTGCTGTTTGGGCACTCCTATATGACGAGGGACAATAAACGTTGTTTCCCACTGCTCCACAAAGTAGCGAGGTTCTAAGGACAAGGTGAACATGTTTAGCAAAAGCAGTGGTATGTCAGGTCTACGGAGTTTGATAACTGTTGGAGGCATGCCATCGGAGTCTGGTTTGAGCGATGCTTTGTTGGACTTCATAGCCTGTTGGATGGTCGAAAGAGCCATCTCGACATTATCTATGCCGCTTGCTGTAAGTCCCGGACAGCAAGGTATAGGGTCGGTTTCTACGTTCATGGAAGCGGCGAAAATAGTGCTAAACGCTTCACAAATAGCAGGTGGGTCGTTAAGCTAGCGACCCTCCCCATCAATAAGTTCTGTAATCAAAGTCATTTTTTATCGCTAGTCCTATGACGGAGTAATTTGGCCAGTTCTTTTCCTTTGCATGTCATTTGCAAGGTGTTCTCCTCCTCCTTTTCAGTCCATTTCATTTGTAAGCGCTTGATGCAGGCGCTGGATTCGTGTAGCTGTAATACTAATGAGAAGTCTCTATTTTTTAATTTCCCGAGTAGTTTTCTCGTTATTAAGTCACTCATAGTTTCGCTTACATTCTTAGGACAAGGAATGGCACGTTTATCGTGTGGGACGAGTGCAGTTATGATGCGATTGATCTCATAGTAGAAATGTTCCACTGCAATGTGGGCGCTAGTGGAGAGAAAAATACCATCCCAATTAGTGGACCGAAACAGCTTTCCGAAATACTCCCAGTCAATCCTTCGTATAGTATGCTGGGTAGGTGAGCCGAGTTTGGTATTCATTTCCAAGTGGATGGAAAGACGTAGCATCTTGTGGTCACTACCCGGAAGGTTGTCTAAGATGTCAACTTGTGCGTCAGGAATCCCCAGGGTCTAGATTAAATCCAGTATGTCGTGCCGATAGCCGGATCCGGACTGTAGCAACGGAAGATTTCTGAAGCATTCCCTTGTTGCGCAAGGAGATCCAATTCCCAATCATGCGGTGTTCCAGCCGATACCCATAACCGTTTAACGCGTGACAATGCCTCTGACTCCAGCACTAATCGCACCACCGATTCCACTGTAGTCTCCTTTTTGCGGCAGACTACTCCCAGACTGTTCGCCTGGTCCAGCTACATCATCTGAGGATGTCAACCACTTACTGATACATATGGGAACTAATTCAATTTTACAAATGTGCTACAACTTTCTGTAGGGAAATTTCATAGAGGACGAATCACCGAGTCAACTATTACTGCCGACACGAACCATCTGCATTTTCGGCGAACATTGCAATGTTCTGTATTTATGGCAGATCCTGACGCAGCCATTCAACACCAGGGCGTAAAACGGGTGACAGGTGACTGCGGAAAACCGCACCAGCAATCGGTTTGAGGGCAGCCCATTCTCTGTGGTGGCGACGACGGTAACTTGCAATGAAAATATGGTATCGAAATTTTCACGGCCGTAAAAGAAGCCCCATTGCAAAGAACTTCTAACACCGGCAAAACACTTTGTTTGCACAACGCTGAGAGAACTTGTAATCTCGATTCGTAATTACAACCACGCATCGTGATGTCTTGGATTGTCATGAATATTATCATTTGATTTATTTGGACATGACTGATCAAACTGATTGGCATATATTTGATTGTACATAACTGATCATGTTTTCGATGTCTCGTGTAACACTGAGAATAAACATAATTATTATTACTCTTGGGTAGGTGGATTTTAATTGTGATTTTATTCTATTCGTCCCAGCAGCTCACATGCCATATAGCATAACTGCTATCCGCAAAACTACCAGACGCGCGTTTTGCCCTATTGGGGCTTGTCAATGGTGCACATCTAGTAAGAGAAAGCCATCACCTCAGATGCTAGCCACTGTCATCCACACTGGTAGGAACTTGCGTTGCCTTGGCAAACAGTTCGTGCTATATCCCAGTTAGCTTGCAAATTATATCGCTCAACCATCGTCCCTCATGGCTCAGTGGCTTAGGCTGCTGGCTAGTTGGCGTCAGACTCTAGCGGTCATGGGTTCGATCCCCAATAGGGGGACCGATGGATGCGCACGACTGACGAGCTCCAATAGGGCGAACCGCGTGTCTGTTGGTTTTCCGGTTGTGCTATGTGGCTTGTGTTACTCTGGGACGAGTGCGTTAACATTATACTAATAATAATACTTATTATTATTGGAGCTGAATATTCATCCTACGGGGATGTATAAAGCACGTTCTTTGCTTGATTATTATTATTATTGTTGTAACCCGAATTCACGGTTTCTTATAAGAGGATCTTCACCGGTTGTGGGGCTCGCTAATCTGGAAATATCACACTTTGGGCTGTGGTCGGTTGGATATGCTAACTGCGCCTAGCAACCCTCATTATGTTCATCACTCAACTCAGTGGGGATAAGCCCAAGAACTTGTCTCTTATGACTGTTCTGTAAAAGTGACTTCCATGCCCCCCACGCATACCTTTCATATGAGTACTTCTCGGTGCCTGGTGGCGTTTCTAACGGAGGAACGCTCGAAATAGAGACTTGAAGAACAGTCCACTGGAATGGATTCTATTGCGTTGTTTGTTGCTCTTGTGATGTGGTAGGGGTGCCACCGGGTACTAAGTTTAACATGTCCGCGCGTTTCACTTACAGCAGTGTCATAGATCGAGACCGTCGTTCAATGTACAGCCCACCATAATATTTAAACACTTCACCCTAGGGAGCCCATTTATCCGTTTTTTTCCTGCCCCGCTTCATTTCGGATTTTACGAGCTTCTTCGCTCCTTGACACGAACAGACTCCGTCTATTGATTTGTCCTTCAGCATCCCACGAATTTCACTATTTTCGATGCCAGCGGCCGATCATCTGCGTACCAAGTCACCATAACATCTTATTATCCTCGCCGCCAATTTTATGCTTAACTTTCGCAAATTATCGTACGAAAACTTGTGCCTTCATGGGCAGTGATCCCTATTTTTTCCTATTCTGGTTACACACTGCGGAGGAGAAGTATTTTCGCAGCCGATCCCTTTTAAGTTATTCCTTCGTCGTTCTATTTTACTATCTGATTAAATCTCTACTTATTCAATCTTACTGCTCGTACTCCCGTTTCACTTTGCTCTTTTCGATACGGGCGGGTGACTTGCATTATCTTCATCTTCCAGCCACAGCTGGCCATCTACGATCCGTGACTCTAGTGGTGCAGCGTCTTTGAAGTTTTAGACTCAGTGTGAGACGGTCGCCTTCCCCTCCTACATCACTTTATTTATCTCCATGCCGTCTGCTTGCTCCGTCATGTTCTAGCTCTCATCGTGGGACTCCAGTTGGGTGCCGCACAGCACTGTATTTCCAAGAGTTGCGCATTTACTCCGTCCATCTCGTTTCCTGGTCGCTTTTCAGGTCAGCCACCATCCACCAGGATCAGCACTTCACTGTGAGTCCGTCCGATATGGTTGGAAAATTTGGGTGGAGTTCGTTCTGGTGAGCAAGTTTCGTGGCAAATACATGTCCGTATTTCCGAAGGGTAAGTGCGCTGACAAACGGTTTTCGTATTAACTTACACAAATCTGTCCCCATGCGCACATTACTTTCGCGCTTTTCCTCCTTCCATATAACCCCTACTTCGGACTTGTGAAACCTCTCATTACCTCTCTTCATTTTAAGTTCCTTTTCGCCAAATGCAATGCTTAATCATCCTTGTTTTCTTCATCTCTGTCATCTCTTCACATCGGCTTCCGTGTTTGTTGCACGGGGCGTATTTACCTGCATTTGTTGGGCGCGGTGATTTTCCCACTCGCTAATTTTTACATCACTTATCTTTACACATACCCGACAATTTTCATACCATCCTAATGGACATCTTAACTAGTCAGCATCATCATTTCGTTTAAGCGCATCGTTTTATCGTTCCGACTTCTTTGAGTTCCAATCTGGTTCTGAGTTGGACCCAGCTGTTAAATTTAGGGAACGATTTGCGTACTTCTGCGTTCTACTGGACAACACTGAGTGTCGTTTTCCATACGCTTATATTTCGAATGTCAAAGATAAAATGTTTCCAAAAATAGATAGCTACCTGTAATGTGCTTCATCTAAATTGCATACGAGGGCAGCTGGTATTTGCGCGCATTTCATGGTGTCTCCCCATTGTTATTAAAATGACTAGCAGCATCCACTTCCGGATTCATCTGTGATTGAGACTGCAAACGGCCACAGGACACCTGCGCCCACTGAGGGACCGTGAGTGGTTTGCGCTGCTCCACCCACAGCCGTATCCTCACACCACATAATCAGTGTAAACCAAAAGGAATAAGACCGCGATGCATGTGGATGGAAAAAAGAAAGGCATCAGCAGTACGCAGTATCGACGTTTCGCTGCCGCACAGCCACCACCTGTGACGCCTAGGCTAAGGATATTGTGAGGGTCGCCCGGTTCCCTACGCAGGCTGGAACCTGAGATTACAATGGCATGCTTGTGATCCTTAAGGTTACGGGCCGGTCACGAATGATTTGGAGCCGATCCATACTCCTTCAACATGCACTTCACTCAAACGACCTAAGGGAAACAGGCGGACCAGATGTGCAGATGGCGGTGGCTGGGTCGCAGCCTGTTCAAACTAGATGAAACCAATCTTTGAGCCTAATAGCCTCACTAAGACTGTGCACCGCAACTCTTCCCAGCAACCATTAACAGTCTCTTGTAGTCAGTAATCGAGGTGGCGGGGATATCAGTAAGCAAACTCTTCAATGCGGGAAAATAAACACGCAGGCACACGCGCAGACCAACTTCAGAGATGATGTAGCACGCATTCTACATCGACCGCATTATTGGCCTGCGTTGGTAGGTGGAATCGAAGCAGCATATTTACCAAGCGCTGATACTGGCCTATTCAACTTAATCGCCGCCTCTTCGACATTATAGAAAACTCGGTCAGAAGAGAAACAATTGTTTTCAATGATTCATCTGGGGGCCGTTACAAATCATATAAGATTAGCATACAAATAAATGGACGGTGATCAGTTCAAGCGTAGTTCCATAGTCAGGCAGATATCGCCGTCTGTTCACACGGATCGATCAGGATTACGTTATCACGCTGACGAAACCGTTGTCAGAGTGACGGTGAGGTTGACTGTTGTTCGGCCAGGATAGACAGAGCGATTGAACATACATTTTTTCGAGCATAAAGGGGGTTGAAATATTCGGATCACAATTGTTTCTACTGTGGCCATCATTCTTATACGCAGACATTTCGATTTGTTCATGGCAATCTGGTACATCACATTATGCGCATTCGGAAGATTAACTCTTTGACCTGATTCGAACACATGGGACAAAATACCGCTCGTATGAACTCCACTGCTTACTTTCGCCAACCATTTAGAACTCTGTTTCTTAATGCAACGTGACAACTGACAAGCCTTTCGATCAATACTTGCTGCACCACAGGTGCACTCAAATCGATAGATTACGCAAGAGGTCAGTCTGTCCCTGTTGTACACAGAAATAAGCGGGTTGGTGGTACTTTACTGCTGTCCAGCAAATATTTGGTACACGTAGATGAATCTACTTTACCTGATAACGACGCTCTTCTCGTGGCACGACTCCGATTCTTCAATAATAATGAATTGATGGAAGTGATGCTGTTTGTCAGGAGAATCAAAACTCATACAAAGAGCCAGTCTATGTAAGATAATCAGTGGCTATCTGAATGAAGACTCCATCCCAATGCGGAACATAGTTGCATATGCGACAGATGGTGCTGCTGCAATGGTCGGAAGATATAAAAGGATTCAGTGCCCATCAAAATAATGTTCTGCCTTCTGGAGGGTTTCGGTGTGGCTCTCTCCCATCCCTTCACTCCACGATCGACGGTTTCGTTTTTGTTTAGACTCATCAGGTCGAGATAGCCGAGCTGGAAGTGGAACTCGGCGCATACTGCTTGGCGGCTATCGCCATGATCACTAGGCCATTGAGCTCCGCGAGCAGTGTTTGACACAGCGGTCAGAAGTAGATTTTTTCTCCCTTCTGTCCAAACAATTCACTGTGCGATTCATTGAGAGCACGTAGTGACGAAGAACTTAGGAGGGCACTTGAACAATTCACTGTCAACTGTTATAATAGTAATCAACAATATCAAATCGTACCCTCTTCAGGATCGTCTTTTCCAGCAGTTGTGTGAGGAAAACAGATTCTACTGTTGCCTACAGACGCTAGGTGGCTCTCCAAGGACAACTGTCTTCGCCGTTTTGTTGCTCTTTGGGACATCCTCATCACATTCCTCTTCGGAACTGTTTATGAAATAAAACTGTTAACAGCTAAACCAGACGTGTTTTATCTGGCTGATGTTTTTGAAAAACTCAATTTATTGAATAAAACCCTTCAAGGCAAGTTGAGTAATCTCATCCCAAGCAAAGGAGCCATTATCACCTTTTTTAAAAAGCTGGAGGTGTATGCTCAAAGTGTCGGGAATTTTCACAGTTCCCAATCATCGCTAGTCACGGAGGAGCTGAAGAATGAAGATATGATTTTTTATGACGGTCATTTTTAGCAACCCCGAAAAAAAACGAAAGACAGATTTCATTCCCCGATTGACATGGAAATCCCGATTTGGATTTTAGAACCATTTAATGTACAGCCCTTCAATGTTGAACTTAAAATCCAGGGAATACTCATAGAGCTTCAAAGTGACACACTAGCAAGAACCAGATTTACGCAATATAAAAGGGATTTTTAGATGAAGACATTCCCCTAACAGACATCCCAGAATGTTGGAAACGGATAAAATTTATGACCTTGATTTCCATCTGCATACCTTGTTGAATGTGAATTCAGCAGTTGTTTCTCTAACGAAGGGTAGAAACAGACTGGCATCACAACAATAGATCTTCGACTCTCTCTGTCAAGTCTGGAGCCGGACATAAGTAAGCTTGTTCAACGACATCAGGTTCAAGGCTTGCATTCATATTTCGACAAAAGTATTGGTTTTCAGTTAGAAGCTGACAATAATTAAATACAAGTTTACATATTAATGTTGAATTTTGCGTAATTTAGGATAAGTGGTTTGCTTTTGCTGCACAATGAGTGTTATCTTGGGGCTATGAATAACCAAGAATGAGGTTTATAAGGGAAAGAGCAATGATATCAGAATTAAAAATTTAGCCATCGTGACAAAATATACTAATATGATCATTGTAAATCACAGATTTCCGTCTGGCGTTGCGGATTGCTGCAATTTTGATGACAAAATGTGGGGGCCATGAGAAATGGAAAGGTTCAACATGGTGCAACGGTTGCATAAAGGTTGTGAATGTCTGCTCCATACCATTTCTGAGTCATGTTAGGTCATAGCGAAATCCATTTAGGCCATAGTTTTCAAATTTAATGGTTACCATTTTCAAGTTAATCCATTCCACACCTTGGCCGACATGTGAAATAGATTAAGTTGAAAGTGCTAACTGCTCAATTAAAAATCTTTACGGTTTCAACTAATTTCGCTATGGCCTAACATGACTCGCAAATGGTGTAGATTGTCGACGAACTTATTCCTTCCTCCGGGTCTACCAACCTTGAAACGTGCTTCCAGACCCAGCTGTTTGCGCCTCCACATCAGTCATTTTCAACAGTCAATTGGATTTCTCATTGATCCCCCTTTACTTTGCTACATGAACCATATTTTGCTTATATTCAGGCTACATAGATTCCTTAGAATTATGACCCACAGTGTTTCACGTAAATCTGTGCAGACAGGCGAGCGGTCCGATTGTTCTTTACTATTAACATTGACCATAACAACTTATTATTTCGTTTTACATGGTACCTTCTTACTCCCACAACCCTATTATTTTTATACCACTACTCGTTCGATTCACCGATGCGCATTTTATTTCGTCTACTTTGTAGTTTTCGAATTAGCGGTTTCTTTCATTATCAACCTACGAGACGTGTTAAGCTTGTTCTTTCTTACCCGTCATAAACCATTGTTCCATTGTACTGAAGTTTGTATATTGACCAGTCCACGTTATCTTTCTGTTGATCCTCCTTAATAGAGAATCCCCAGTTCATCTACTCAGGTGTACATCCAGAAATGAGAACTAGCCCTCTTGTTCAAGTTCTTAGGTGTACTTGATTGTCGGGGGCGCATTATTGAACTTTACCATTATATCTTCTACACACTAATCCTTATTAGTCACGCGAAAGATGCCATCCATGTAGCGACAGTTATTGTCGAAACGATCTGTAAGTGGACTCAATGATTTAGTTTCTAGTTTAGCAAGAAAAATATCATCAAACACTGGTTCCAGTGTGAACCCCATTAAAACTACGTCATATGTATATATATATATATATATATATATATATATATATATATGACGAATACCTATCTATATCAATATATATAAAATGGACATTGAAGCAACTCTTTCAGGCTTGATAAGGGTATACTGAAATGAATGCTGTTCTCGCGCACGTAATTGCATAAATATTCCATCGTTTCTAGCAGCGGTACATTCGTGAATAAGGATGCTTCATCTAGGGAAAACATTTTCTTTTCCTTTAGGTTGCCATTTTTGATGTGCTGTACGAATGTAGCATTATCACAGAGATTGTGTCGAGCAGTTCGCTTTTCTAGGGTTTCCAACATTTCTGCTAGCCGCTGGGCTGTGAAATGTTACGCTTTCTTTATGAACTTTCGGAAGCCAATACATTCTTGGGATGGATGTTCCGACTAGCCTTAGACTTACAGATAGACAGCACGGTATTAAATCGCGAGTGGTTAGATCTTTCAGTCCCTTTGTCAGGTTTAGTTCCACTAAGTCCTATTCGTCTACTTTTTCACAAAACTTTGTTTCGTTTTGGACAATCTGGTTTACTTGTGAAATGTAATCACTGTTGCGTGCCTGGTTCTCCCAGCCGCGTCAAGAGAAAGAACTCACACCGGCTCTGCACACAAACGCTCTATTCACAAGTCTGAGATAATATGCAACTAGCTGGATTTTTTAAAATCTCGATCGGTCACCTGATCGACGGCACTGGGGCAGACGATGCCCTACGTCCCTGGTTTCAGCCACCATTATATCCTTTCCTTTTTTTAAAGCGTTTGTGTTGCATTTGCCATATCCTCGTCCACTGCGGGCGAGCTTCCGGTCTAAAGGAATGATAGTCGCAGTAAGGTTAGGCTGCATTAGATCGTTAGCTGCTGTCATCAGCTTCTTTCGCCTCTGACTGAAGAAACGCTGAATCGATCTTGTCCCGATCTCGGTACGTAGCGCTTTTCTCCCTTCGAGTATCGTCAGGCGACGTTCTTCATTCGGCCATTTGATACTGAGAAGTCGTTTCTTTATTTTATTTTCAGTTTTTAGGACAAAGTTCCCTTTCGGCTGCAACCTCGGTCCATTCGACCCTTTGAAGCGACTGGGTGTTGTACTGCACTCTATTCTGATGCAGCTTTTCGTGATAGCATGCTCTCAGTAATTCTTAGATCAGGTTGTGATGATGCTGACCGCTTTTGTGTCAACGGCGTTGGAAAGACGCACTTTTCTTCGCTAAAGCCCATTGAGTACTTTATTGTGGAATCCTTCATCGCTTGCTGACATTCATTATCCACTGAGCTGGTATCGACCAAAAAGCTGATATCTTTGGTACGTTTCATTCGCAAAATTCACCAAATCTGTTGATTATCTCCGAGCTGTCCGGCATCACTGAGATCCAAAGCCTCGAGTACTCGTCCGGCTTCGTCGCCATAGCGTGTCTGAACATAGCAATCTGGTAAGGCGTCGGATAGGAATCCAACTGAGTCAGCGTGGCGAAATCCGTCCACTTCATTTTCCACATTCTCCAATTGTCAAACAGCCTGCTTTCCGTCGTCTGTAGAGCCGTCGGCAGCGGGACCGACGGCTGTCCACCAAAAGCGAGCGGGGTCCGGCGCGTCAACTTCTCTGTCACCATGTTGCGTGCCTAGTTCTCCCAGCCGCCTCAGGCGAATGAACTCACACCGGGTCTGCACATAAGCGTTCTACTCACAAATGTGTTTTTAGAAATCTCACTCACCCCCTCGGTCGACCGCACTGGGGCAGACGATGCCCTTGGCCCCCGGTTTCAACCACCATCACAGTCGCTACTGTTCATTAAGACTATACAACTGCTTTTATCCGGATTGCAGATGACTTTGTTCTTTTTCAACACGTTCAGGGTTGCTAAATGCTTACGCGTAATGAGATCACGTTGATTTGCCTGATTTTTTTCGATATTATATATATATATATATATTATTGTTCCATACTGGACATCTGCAAATCAATTTTTGCTTTGTTTATACGTCACCACCATCATCCACCATGCCGATTGCGAGTTTAAGATCACCAAAGCTAAAGTTACTTTAACCATTCCTTTAATCCAAAGGTGTCCAATTTCCGGTCCGCGTTAATATTTCAACTAGCCTGTGGCCTCATTATGAACTAGTAAATTCAAGCTTGCAGTTTTTTCGCACAGACGACGTTATATACAAAAAACTAGGGGTTACACGTATGAAATTCGATGTCGTCAGATACCGGCAAAAATCAATCAATGTAGTTTTATTTATGTTTAACCAACCAGTAAGTCAATGTAGTAGTTTTACCAAAGGGGTCTTAACTGAATCAACAAATACGAGAGATATCAAGATCTCACTCTTACCATTCACGTTAGAAATTTGTAGTAACTAATTTATAAAGAAGTCCTTTTTGGTTATTATCCTAATGTCAGACTGGATATGGCCCGACATATTTTTACGTCACAAAATGTGATCCTCCTTGCGAAAAGTTTGGACACCCTGCTTTGGTCTGATACATTTTTGCTGCTGCGGCCGCTGCACTTTCTGTTCTACTCACTGCATCCTACGTTGCGATCCTTATGGCCCTACTTGAATGCGCAGCGATATCCTAGTTACTATCACCGACTTTTGTTTTATTTAATCTCTTGCTACATTTATACCATTTTGCCACGATCGTCCTTCCGCTCTTGTTACTTATCACAGGTACAGTGAACCTCAGTTTGCCAGACGGATCTCGTTATACGTGGATCAAAGCGTGCACTGTGGTCCACAATCTGATCGTTGGCACCCTATGGATTGACAATTATGGCGACGTGCTCATTCAAAACCATACGAACAATTATCAATGCCCAATACGCTTTATCGCGCATTCATATTTCAGCAAGGGACCCCCAAAACAGGCGAGCTTTCTTTCCTTGTTCATCTGATCTCTGTCATTACCGTCACTTTCTTCCCGGTAAAACGGTTCACGCTCGTTCCCTATCTTTTACCTCCTTTGTTGCATTGTTTTAACACCATCACACTGTATCAGCATATCTCGCCTGAATCAGCGGACCCTTGAGCCGGTTGTGACTGCAGAACCGATGCGTCCAAAATTTACTCCCTGTGTAACATCGTATTGCTTGTTACTTATTCCTTGACTGCAGCGGTCGGTTCTAGCTACCTTGCAATGACCAACATCGTTGAGCAGCCCATTTCTAAAAATCATCGTTTAGAAGTGCGATGCCTTATCATTTATACGACAGCAGTCGTTCGTTGATTGCTTTATGTCACAACTAGTCGCCCATTCGCGCCGGTTACACGCACTCCCCTTCGTTCATCTGTTTCGACCGCTTCATTGTCCACGCAAGGTTGCGGTTTCCAGCTTCTCCCTTTAGTTGAGTCCCTAAATGATTATCGAGGCAAATAATTCCCTTCAGCAATCCGGGAATTGCAGCAAGAAGATGGCAATCAGTAGATGCACATATTTTGTATTTGTCCCCTCTAAAGGATTATCTTTCGCACACCGATACCGTCCATAAATTCATGTCTTCCTTTTATTCATCTTAGATATCCATTGTCACCGCTCTTTTGGTGTTTTAAATCTTGCTTTTTCTGTCGCAAAGGCGGTCCTTCTAGAACAAACGGGTTATTCAGACAAGTAGACAAAATGGCATCCAATTTAATCTCCGAAATGTTTCAATTTTTATTATTCGTCCGCTTTCGCAACCGACAATATTTGTGGATTGATGGGGTTTATCTTATGTCTCAATTAAATGAGCAACGGGAAACTCGCCGTAGCGCAACCAAACTTCAGTCAGTCAACGGGTGCACGTAGCTAAATGACCATCCCTGCTGCGTCCAATAACACAATCAGCTGTGTTTACCCCGCATTGGTTACCTGGTTCCTTCGTCGGGTTCAGTTCTATCTGCTACATCAGTTACAGTCCAAGTGATCAAATTGACCGAAGTTCACTTCATTGCGAATCGCGTTCCACATTGAGATTACGCGTCGCATTCCACTCACACAATGTGCACATTAACCCTTCCGCGCATGAATTTTTGGAGTGGTGATAAAAAATTATTTTAACAATTTTTAATCGATTTGGAGTGGCCTTGTGGTGTAAACATTTACCGCGTCTGTAATTGTTACCTCATACAGAGCAATGTCTCTGCAGTGGACTGCATGCATCAGAGGTCATGAAAACGCCTGTGTAGCCGTGGAATGGGCCAATGGTAGCCACCCCCACCATAGTGACCTCTATGTGCAAAAGGGTTGAAATGACCCCCCACCACTTATTGGGCTTATGTCTTGCACATTTGCTCCGACTGTCCTATACTGCTATGCTGTTGCTTAATCTTTACATCGTTTGGTTGGACTGTAATCTGCAAAGGTATGTTTGGTGTCTTGTTTCTTTCTGCTCCCCTTCCACCCTTATCTTCGGATCCATACACTTTGCTTTATAACGTTATGCACGGATGAGATAGCTCGCATCGTGCTTATTCAGTGGACCTTACCGGGTAATGGACGCATTCTCGAGACCGTAGTCGTAATTCCCGACTTCCATCTCATGTTATCTTCATTACACCTACCATAGCTTTTGTGCTGTTGTGTAACCTGTTTTCATCCTTTATGATATCCATCATCTGATATTCTACTTTTGGTCTTTGTGCAACAGCTTACCGGTGGTTTATTTTGTTCCAGGTGACGGGAACAGTCAAGACTCCATCTGGCACAGCAGTGCGAATTATCCAAGGCTCTTGGGACAGCTACATCGAGAGTGTACAGGTTTCTGCAGACGGATCTCCGACTGGAGACCCAATATTATTGTGGCGTGTCCAACCGCTTCCCGCGGGATCAGAAGATGTAGGTCTACTTACCGTTATCACGTAATTACACTTTCCATTTGATATACAACTGCTGTCTAGAGTTCACATCGCAATACCCGGCTCATTCTCACTGTAGCAGAGGCATCGCATTTTGCTTGCTGGTATATAATGCCGGCGCATTGCGCAATTCGTTTTTATGCCAAGGCTGATGCAGTTGATAAGCTTGTACTCTTCTCGAAACTGCATCGATCCATATGCTCAAACTGCTTTGCCTCTGGTCATTATGGACTCTCCTCTTTGAGGAGTGCAACTTCAATTGCGAAGACAACCAAATTCACTTGGTTACTACCTGCTATCTTGGCCAATTATGCATTTGCCTTCAACTGCCTTATCTGATCGAGTATTTCTTCCTTCCCGCAAACTTTTACATTAGTTTGAAAATCGTCGATTATTGTGCTCATCTCTCACAACTTTTTACTGTCTCTTTTATCGGCCCCACTAAGTTTTGTTCTTTTTAACCACCGAGTTGAACTTCCCTTCCTTGGAAACGAAAGCTGAACGAGCAGCACTCCATCATACTGAAAGTAGTGTACTACTCTGCCCTTGCTATTCAACTTACATCATTCTCTTGGGGCGTACAAGACGAATACATGTTTTATTAATTGGGATAATAGCAATCCATCCAAATTTGGCTGGTGTTGATCAATACATTGAGTATTCTCTTATCCCCTGTTTGTTTCAGTAAAAATAAGCTACCTTGGAGCTGTGTTTCCCCCTATTCTCATTCCTGACGAACTCCTATTGTGTTGGCCATAGACAAAGGCCACGAAACACAAGGGGTCATGGTCAAAGTTCATTTACCCATCAACCAAGCTGAACGCAGATCGTAGTCCCAACCAGTAAGATTGCTGGTCTCCACGGGCAGCCACGGCGATATAGGAACGCGCGCACACCGCGCTCAGCGCACTCTCACCGAGGCTCCTCTACGCTACTGCACGCCACTCAACTACGCACTGATGATGTCACCTCGATTGGTGACGAACCATTTGCAACAAAATTGCCAAGCCCAGCGTACAGTTCAACCGCCATCCTGTTGTGTTCGCTGACTGGATTCCTCCAGTGAAAGTGTTCTAGGCATCCGTCTCTTTCTTTACTATCTGGTGAATCCGCAGCAATTCTTGTGCAGCTGTCCATCCCAGTCACTTAGCGTCCATCTATCACTCACACAGTTGGGTGAAAAATGATTCGAGTTTAGTCATTATCTTCATTCGACAATTTTCTCCCGCACCGCGAGTTCATTTATGTTCTTGAGCCTAGCTACCGCACCTTCCTCGGCGCCTAGTGACATATGTAATATTTGTTTCCGCCCGGTGCAACCTCAAGTGGTGCTCTGCTTCTGTGCTCATTTGACCTGTTGGCTTTGCTTCATCTCAATAACCCATCCCGCTTTCGCATACAGATGTATCACTTCTCCCTGTTCACGATGGAACTAAATGAGCCGGAGGATGGTGTAGCTCCCACGGATTCGCGATTGCGACCAGATCAACGATATATGGAAGACGGAGATTGGGACAAAGCTAATGAAGAAAAGAGGCGATTGGAGCAAAAGCAGAGAGCGAAACGACATCGCTGGGAGCAAAGGCAAGCAGAAGGTAGGCATTTTGATGAATCTCAACTGTGTTTCTCACTTCAGTGAATACCCACCTCATCACGAAAATATAATTGCAGAGTACCGTGGGCATTTGCTTTAGCTAGATCTCATTCGGTTGTTGTAACTGAAATATTTCATTCGGCTTCCTTATTTAGCTCGGTTGGTCAGCTTTTATCCCCAGGCACCTTGACTCACGTCGTCATCAGAATTATGCCTTTTAACAGTAGAAATGCAAAATTGTTAGTTTGGGCGAATGGACATGAATTGAAATCATGGGATTTGGAGGTAGTTTGGCATCAGAAATAAGAGAACAAATGGGATGACTTCCTTGGCTGCTTGAATTCACCATATTTGATTCGATTCCCAACCTCCCATGTGACCGATCCCGATCCAGGTAGACATCGCATGCACCATCTCTGCTTAGGCTTTTGGTGAGTTTCTTCCTGCTCTTCTACCGCCTCATTGACTAATCGCCTCAAAGTTTTACCCGACTGTACGCAGCATTGTTGAACGTCACACGCCAGTCTGCGGACCTATGACACACTATGCGGTCGGTGTAACCGACTCAGATCTAGTATGCAATCCACTACAGCGGTATCAGAGATGAAACAGCTACTACAAAACTTATGTATTGCCGATTATAGACTGCTGTTCATTAGTTCAATCGAATATCCGAAAGTCTGGCCAGCATGCTCTGGAGAGAGTCCAGCGACGCTTCACGAAAAAGCTATGCGATTATTCCTCCAAAATGGTGTGCAGTGAGCGTTGCGGTAAGCCATGACTTTATCCAGTTTGTCTTCAGATAATAAATCTGAAACTGTGTTCTCTTTACCATCTTGTGCACAGTTTTGATAACGGTGTTTAACTACTCTATATGGAACAAAGTGACATGATTTAAGGGTCCGAAGTTCACTGCGAAAATCAGAAAACCTTTCTTCCTAATCCACTACTCAAACATCTGGAACAGACTTCCAAAGGATATCAGGACACGCTGTACACTACATATATTCAAGAATGCGATTGATGGCCATTTGACCGTTCAAGATGCGGTTGATGTATTCGGGGCGTTACAATTCCTGAGTGGCGCTTTCAAGAACTGTATGGATACCAACTAATAACACTACGAACAACATCTTTCCGTGCTGAATGAATACCTGGATATCTTGTTTTAGCCCGTAGCCCCTTTCCCTTCACTTTTTTCACAGCCCGAACATCGGAGTACTTTATGTTACTTATATAAGCATGAAATTTATGCCACATTTTGTTATCTAATTATGCGATAGCATGAAATAGTTGTACCACTTTCTGACCTGTTCGTGCTAGGGAACAATTACTCACTCGTCGAGGAATATTCATTTTGTTTCTTCGTTTATCTAAAATAATCGTGTGGGGAACTACGCGTCAGTCGCTTCAGCAGTGCTTGCGTACCAACCACTTCCAAACCAACAAGAGCCGCGTCGCTCGCATACCCAAAGTGTGGCAGACGGTCACTTTTACTCGAGAGGTCGAAGGAGCTTATTCATGATCATCACTTCGGTTAGGCAATTAGAAGAGATTTGACGTGTATGACGCACCCCACTTATCGGGGCGAAATCAGGTCGCGCTTTCTACATCCTTACTCAATACCGCAAGACATCTCTCAGCCAGGCTATTCAAAAAGTCGCATCACCGAAATCAGACGCATTCAACTGATGTAGGGCCATTCTTCAAATGAGGAAAAAGGATTGACCGCTGTCCCGCGCTATCTGTTGCCGGTGTGAATATTGGCGATTTTCGGCCAGAGTGGGTGACGCTGTGTGTGGATGCGTGTACCGGGAAGCAGTGATGCCGATTACGATTAGTTTGCGTTTAAGTACGACGATAGCTATGCTGGAGCCGCCCCATCCAATGCTTTGTTCGCTCTCAACAAACGGTCCATACGAGTATTCATGCTACAAACTGTGATCAGAATGCCTATATTTCTGCCTTATAGACAAGTTACGTACACAGTTTGTTTTTATACGTCTTCGACTCACCGTGCACCGACACTTGGAGTACCTGCTGCGACCCCTTGAGCTGCGTTAAGCAGATCACCTGGCGTCCACTTCGCAAATACTTCAATCCACCGGACACTTCCACTGACTTCTTGATTTTCCCCTTTTTGCTATTGTTTCTCACGTGATGTGCCACTCTGCCAGTTATAAATTGGTCAAGTTTAGTATATATATATATATATATATATATATATATATATATATATATATATATATATATATATATATATATATATATGGTCGGCAGCATCCGGTTTCGGATTTGCCTGTCACTGTGGCCAGCCACATGACGCCTGCGCCTACAGATGGACCATGGGTGGCTTGCGCTGCACCACCCACAGCTCCAACCACACACCACATATGCAGTGTAAGCCCAAAGAAATAAGACCGGGAGGCATTTGAATGGGAGCCACGTTTCATCAACGCAGCCGGCCCACACTCCTTCACAGGCACACACAAGCACGCTGTATTTGGAAATCAAGCGCACACAAGGCGGTGGCTGGACCGTAGTCCGCTCCACACTGAGTGCATGGAACCACTCTTCGAGCCTAGCACGAACACAAGGACCGTGCACCCCGTCCCCTCCAGCAACGACCAACTATCTTTTAGACAGTATGGATGAGGTAGTGGGTACTAGACAGGTAGATACCTTGTCAACATGCACATCAAGCGCAGCCGCACCGGGGATGTCAAACAACAGCCAATCACTTGAAATAACAGTAACAAATAAAATATATATGTTAAAGAATATGGCTATGCAGACATAACTCTTCCCTAAATTAGCATTTTTTGGTTAGCAACGAATCCGCGATAAGTAAAAAATGTCTAGAAGTGACTCAGCAGATGCTACAAACGCAATAAAGTTAATGAAGATAAGCACAATTACCGTAAGCAACGTGGAAATTTAATGGAAGCTTATTCCGGTAGGCAGAACAAATACATGAAGTGGAATGAAATTTATCCAGCTTAAAAAGAGACCTAGTTTAAGTGTAAGTTGGTTTATATATATATATATATATATATATATATATATATATATATATAATCACAGATCCGTGTCCTATGCTGAGGCTGATGTTGCATTCATGATGCTTCTTCACCGTAGTTGGGCTAAACCAACTTACACTTAAACTGGGTCTTTTTCAGCTGGATAAATTTCATCCCCCTTTATTTGGTTTGTTCTGCTTGCCTGAATAATCTTCTATTAACTTGCACGCGTTGCGCTGACATCCGGGCTGAATAAGCGCCCACTAAACACCGTCGAAGATCATTGGTCGCAACTTCGTTAAACACTACTGTTAGCAGGCATATCTTCATGTGGCAAAACAAATTGCCAAACCGGACATTGGGTCTCTACACAGTCTCTGGAACTTATGGATGCTCGCCGACCTATTCCGGCTGGAAGCGAATACAATAAGGCTCGCAAAAATCTCAGGGCAAAATTGCGTGCTAGCCTGAAGAAAACCGCGAAACCTGGTGATCTCATCGTGCCTCTGAGATGGAAACAGCCGCTGCCGTTGGTAATCATCGTAAGTCATTCCGTCTGATACGGGAAACAGGCAACTGGAGACTTGGCGTTAGCGAGACCATACGCGACGAGAGTGGGCAGCTGATCCACAGCTTGTCAAAACGCTTGGAGCGTTGTGCTGAACACTTTGCAAGGCAATTTAACTAACCTGAGTTATCGGTTTCTTTTGCGGGCATTGAGCGCCCTTCTCCTTGGGCCGTCTCCTTGGATCCGCCCTCACGCGCAGAAGTCAAACGTGTGATCAGGCTGTTGAAATTGCATAAGGCCGCATGGGGCAGATAGAATTTCCCCAGCCCTCTTCAAATTCGGAGGACCTGCTCTAGTAGATGATTTACACGAGTTGCTAGTGAAACTTTGGGAGCAGGAGATTGTCCCTCCAGACTGGAACTGCTCCGTCATTATCCCAATTTTCAAGGGAAACTCCCGTTTGGAATGCGGCAATCATAGAGGGATCAATCTGATCTCAGTTGCCTCTGAATTGCTTGCGTCTGCCATTCTCCACAGACTGACTGGCACTCGTGAAAGCCAGATTCGTGAAGAACAAGCCGGATTTCGTCGATGTCAGGGCTGCATCGACCACATCTTCACCTTGCGTCAATTGTTGGAGCACCGCCATGTTTATTGGCGACCCACCGTTGTCGTGTTCCTTGACATAAAAGGTGTCTTCGACTCAGTTGATCGACGTGCCCTTTGGGACTGTCTGCTGAGGACAGGTGTGCCTGATAAATATGTAAACATTCTCAAAGCGCTGTACGCGCATAGTTAGGGCAGAGTGAGGGTTTATGGCAAACTGTCGCCACCCTTCAGTATCACCAGCGGTGTGAGACAAGGTTGCCCGCTGTCACCTTTTCTCTTTAACTTCGCTATTGATGAAGTCATGAAAACAGCGTTCGCTGGACACGACCTAGAAGGTGTGGAGCTACTTCCTGGTGAGCGACTTCTTGACTTGGAGTATGCGGACGATATTGCCCTAATCTGTGACAGCTCCCAAACATGCCAAACAGCACTGGACCGATTAGCACTGGCTGTCATTCGTTTTGGGCTATGCTTTGCTCCATCGAAATGCAAAGTACTTCTCCAAGATTGGCATGGACCCAACCCTACGCTAACGCTTTGTGGTGATCTGCTAGAAGTCGTTAAGTAATTCAAGCACATGGGCAGCTATATTAGCACCCGTGGGATTGAAGATGAGGTTACGAACCGTATAGCAAAAGGTCGAGGTGCTTTTGCCAATCTCCGCCACCTGTGGCACAGACGCGACATTACTCTCGCCCTGAAGGGCAGAGTTTGCGACACAGTCGTCCGTTCAACTCTCCTATATGGTTATGAAACCTGACCCATCAGGTCGACAGACATAAAGAGGCTCGTCATATTCGACCATTGCTGCCTTCGCAGCTTAGCTCATGTTTAGTGGGAGCACCGCGTGAGCAATGAGCGTGTTCGGCGTCGCGTATTTGATGCAGGAAGAGCGAGTGAACCGCTCAGCACCATTATATCACGCACCAGACTCGGATGGTTGGGCCACGTGTTGCGCATGCCAGCACACCGACTTCGGCGACGTGCATTGTTTGCGCGTTGTGGTTGCGGTTGGAAGAGGAGGAGAGGAGACCAAGCGATGACTTGGTCGAGAGAGATGAAAACCCTCACTTCGAAGTTGGCGTCGGTTGGTGCATCCCGACTGCCTGGCTGGGGTCCTAAGAACGGTGGTTGGACATACTTGCTGATATGGCTTGGAACCGGCACCAATGGCGTTTGTGTTGTGAGTTCCTTTGTCCATCCCCCTCCAATTACGATCTCACTCGTTAGACATAATATAACTTTTTCTACGGCACGATAGCCAGGTGTTAGCTCTCCGGAACGATGTCCATCCGTTACTGAGTGCTCAGCCGGCGTACCACTGTTTGTTTTCCTTTTCTTGTCTTCTGTATTGCGGCACAATAGCTGAGGTGTTTTCCACCTGCAGCTAACGTGTATACTGAATGTATGAATGACACGTTGCCTACTCTTATTGTGGTTATCTTCGTTCACTTTATCGCGTTTGTGGCATTTTTGTGTAACTTCTGGACATTTTGTACTTATTGTTGATTCGTTGCTAACCAACTTACTTTATATACTAATTTAACGAAGTGTCAGCATAGCCGTATGCTTTACCAGATATATTTTATTTACTAATGTTATTTCAAGTGATTAGCTATTGTTTAACATCCCCGGTGTGGCTGCGCTTGATGTGCATATTGACAAGGTGCCTACCTGTTTATTACCCACTATCTCGTCCATACTGTCTGCAGGAAACAGTTGGTCGTTGCTGGAGGGGACGGGATGCACCGTCCTCGTGACAGTGCTAGGCTCGAAGTGTGGTTCCATGCAGGCAGTGTGGAGCGGACTACGGTCCAGCGACCGCATTGTGTGCGTTTGATTCCCAAATACAGTTTGCTTGTGAAGGAGTGTGGGCCGGCTGCGTTGATGAAACGTGGCTCCCATTCACATGCCTCCCGGTCTTATTTTTTTGGGTTTACACTGGATATGGGGTGTGTGAATAGAGCTGTGGGTGATGCAGCGCAAGTCACTCATGGTCCCTCTGTGAGCGCACGCGTTCTGTGGCTGGCCATAGTGACCGGCAAATCCAAACCGGATGTCGCGAACCATACATCACAGACCCACTTGCCTAGTGAACGTTGACCCACTGACCTGTTTGTAGCAGCGTCGATCGAGGCGAACTGGTTGCTCCGTCAAACCAGTTGATCAGTACTCACCCTGGCTCCATTCTGTTTGCTCAGTCGAGGATGAATTTCATTGTTGTGCCGAGTGATTCGTGTCGAGTAAGCGGTCAACTGTCTCTTTTGGCAAATGACTCGTTGCTTTGCATTTCGTGGTAAGCGAAGTTAGAAACGAGCAGCCAGCCGAGCTACTACTCAATGACCAAGTTGCTGAACAACCGTCCGTACGCACTGGTGAAAATGAGTCAGGCTCCGCGATTTGAACTACACATTCGCGGGAGCGCTATCTGCGCCACCCCATGAAGAAACACTACTTACTGATCATACCGACGGGTAAGACTCTCCGATGACTTTGCCATATTAAAACAGGTGTCGTTTTCCTGGTAAACACATTGTGCTCTCGGAGGACTACGTCACAATGTCTAGTTACGAAGCCCTCATTAGGTCGATCTGAAGTATGTGTTCAGTTTCAACCTTGCGCCGCGGGCCTGAACTAATGGTATGCGCTAATCGATTCTGCCATCTTCTCACACAGCGTGGCGATGAACAAATCACTGAATCCTTTGTTGCTAGATGCGTTCATAGGCACGATTTAGAAGAAAATGGGTGGGATCCAGATACCAGTTACCATTAATTCGGATGAAGACATGTGTGTAGTCATGAAACTCATCGGCGCGCATCCCAGTCCTGCTAAATCGTCAAGGCATTGGCACGCAATTTGCTTTCCGTACTTTGGCGTACACAGAAACCGGTTTTCCATCAGAAGCGTGGTTTACTAGCCAGCAGCCTAGACTTGGGTGCAATGAATCACTTGAGCACAGCACACACACACCTTTCTAGCCCGGACATCTTCACGTAGCCCCATAGCTTGCACCCCGAAGACCCGGACAGAGCGCAAACATGTATCCGACTCGCCGCAACACAAAGGCTGTCCGTTGCAATTCATCTCACCGAAAGAGATCCATCGGCAACGGTCCAGACGATGTCTATCTTCGTTGGGTTTCTGTTCAAATATGGTCACGACATGAAGATCCTTGCGAAATGGATAAAAAGCGCCCGGTGCCTATGTGTTTGACAAGAATGTCGGCGCCAGGGCGACATATGCTGATTGTACTACTTCACGCACAGCTGTGTCGGGTGCATTGATCCAGTTCTTGGCGTCAAAACTAACGGACAAATCGCCAAGGTGTTGTTCAAGTAGATGGAATTTTTTGCAGTTTTACTGCATGAATCGGGAGGTCAACTTGTCACAACTCTCATGAGATCATTGCATGAGTACCCTTTAAATCCGAAGCATCGTTTGGTATTGTTGTATGCACTCAAAAGCCTCACATTCCTAAGTTACTAGAAACTGACAGGTAGCTTTTTGTTTCCGATACCGTCGGTATGTGATGCCACTAATGACCGCTGGTAGAATCTATTCCACTAACCGATGCCGAATTAGTCTTCTCAACCGCTTCACTACTCTACTCTTTATTAGGCGGAGTGAATTAGTGTGACAGAAATTCTTATATCAATGAACCTCATTTCTTCTCATATTTCTTAATGTACCAGAGCGCTTTTGCCCAACATCCTGACACTGACTACCGTATCTCCCACTTCTCTGTTCGCTTATTCTTGATCCTCTTACGTACCAGGTATCTACCCATCGGAACCGCTGTTTACCCCGGTTTGGTTCGGACCTGCAACCGACCCGGTGACAAAGGAAACCTCCCATGTATACTTGAACAACTACTGGCAAGCTAAGTCTCACCAAGATTGGGTGGCCTGTCCGGACATATTCTAACTCGTCCTCTCAGTACTTTGATGAATACAAAGTAGCTGCCTTTTACAGAGTGTGTTGCAATCCATCCAGTTTTGTTCACTGCAAATTTTTCAACTTTGATCCCATGTTTACGTTTCGTGTTCACCCAGCCTTATTTCTTACCCCCCATCCATGAGAATTCTGTCCCTTTTAACCTTCTTGCAGATGTCTTATCTACTTTCTTCGCATTGTGCAATTTTCGGTTCCAGCTGCCCCGGTCTTTTCTCCATGTTTGGCCAATTCTCTTTGCTGCAGAATGATGCAGGCCACATGCTGCATTCGTGGGCCCCTATTTCCCGTTCCTTGTTGCTTTTAATGAAATGCGGTTCTTACATTTGTAAACTAGTGGCACCAACCACTTTGTTTCCGAAATTTATTTACGCTTCTGCTTCATACCGACTTTCATTGAGAGCGGTCGCCACGTACTCGCAAGTTATCATCAAATCTGTGATCTGCTTCTGATGGGGCCACTCTTTATTACTTTTAATTTGTTTTCCATCATAGTTCATAAATGGTTCTTTTCTACTGCTCATTGCTTTCAGTTGACCCCCACCCCATATCGTGAGATTTTTTTAGCAAATTCTACTCTATTTTGCTGGTTCTCCTTCGAATTCTTACAATGTACAAAATGCCGATTATCACATACATATCGGTGCATACGCACCTAAGCGAGAGCCGCGAACTTTCACCCTTTGTAGCTGTGGGATGTTTTATTCGATCAGTTGTTGTGGATCTATCCGATACTCCTGTTCAGCCTCCCATGTTCGTCCAGTTGCGCCTTTGTGCCTGCTGCCAGGACTGTCATCAGTGTCGACTGATGACGCCGGTTATTTACTTGTTGTAATTGCTTGCGGAAGTTTCATCTTGCTTGGCAGATTTATGGAGGCTCTACTCATTCCCAAACGAGTGGTGTGTGTGCTTCGCTCCAGTCTTGGTTCGCATTGGCTACCTACAGTGCCTTTCTCCGAGTTTGCGGTCATTTTGATCACTCCGCTCTTGTTCTGTTATAGCGGATCTTGTAGGACGAATTACTCTCGTTTGTCTCTGAACGTAAAGACGTCCGTCTTCATGTAACAATGTTATTGTGGTCTAAGTGTGAGGTCTACTAACTATTCGCTTTTTACACTTCACTCTTGCATCACTGACCGAGCCAAGGCGGTGCAACTCTAAATCCGTAATTGGAAATAGGAATCAGTCAACAACTGTATGTTCGGGTAAGCGCCGGTATTATTTGTTACACTTCATAGACATAGCCGATGATGTATACGCCCCGCCTTGAGAATACTCGCGTGATGCGCGCAATTACTCGCGTGTATTGCCTACATGTCTTTTGAATACTGACGATCGATACGCTTGCATGTGTTTTTCACCAAACCATTCGTTAGAATCCACGGTTCTTCACAGTTGGTGGTCTTTGTTGTGTTTTGACTTGTGGCTTGGTGTGCTTACAGGGATACAACCACTGGCGTCGCTGCTGTCAACCGTTACAATGGCACTTTATATTCCACCTCCGAAGGCCTTTTGATGCAGTTCTACTCTCAAACCTACTGAGAGTGATTGGATTTAATGGAAAACTTCCTTCACAAATTATTTGGAATTGCTGCTGCTGTTTACAATAGAAATCAAAATTTGAAACTACTTCATCACCTGTTGGGCAATTAAGTCCAACGTTACTCCGATGCATTCGAACTACAGAGACTCGATACGCTTACAAAGGCGTTGAATGTGTTGGATCAATCTTGGGGTGCCCGGCTAAACGTTTTCGCAGAACGTTACAATATATGCCGTTTGCGGCAAGAAGATACAGATCCACTGGAACAGTTTATATCTCGCTTGATTCGGGTTGTAAAAACTTGTGACTGCGCAACAGCTGATAACAAGTATCAATGATAATCGCCTGCGGGAAACGTTCCTTTCCGAACATTCTTCGAAACTTTCCTGAAAGGGAGCCATAGAGATCGCCAGACTGAAGACAGCCGCTCTCGAACAGTCGCACATATTCAAAACGAGTGGGACACTTGAAATCAAGGGTTTCACTCCAACTCAGAATTTGGCTGCTTTGTGTTATCGATGTGGGATTCCTCGCCACAAAGCGGACTGTCAAACATGTCCGGTTCGCACAGCAGATACTGCCGCTCGCGCCGGGTAGCCTTAATTGATCAACAAAATGATGTTCCCACCTCATCGATTACGGAGAATTTTTTTGTCAGAAAACTACCACAGCCAGAAACTCGACGCATTTCTCTGTTGGGATCATCCAAGCTTCATTCTCCTGACATACATACCGTTATGCTCCATGGTCCTAATACCACTGTACCATTTACCATCGAAAAAGACTGCATCGCCCATCTAGTATTTACGACACTCATCCGCATGACATTCCGTTAGATACCACTTCTTACAAATTCTATCCGTACGCAAATTCGATGATATATAATTACGAAACTCGGATTTGTCCGTTATTGCTGTATACGTAGCATCCGAAGATAGTCCAGCCTGGCTGGGGCGGAATGCAATGGTTGCCCTTGACGTCACACCTGTTGACCGTATATGTATCATGACGCTTAGTGGCTCAACACCTAAAGGTAAATATCCCAAATTGTTTACCGAAGCAATTGGTCGGATTCCATCGGCCACTCATCGTATTTGTCTTAAACAGGATGCCAAACCGTTTTCCATATCGCAACCTCGTCCCATTCCTATATATATATATATATATATATATATATATATATATATATCAATGGAAGGGTTGAGAAGGTTAATTTGTTGTGTGGGCAGAGATCTTCTAAGTTGCCCAGGTCGAGGAAGAGCGTTGACTTAAGGGACTCCACCGCGAGCCTTTGATCATAAAGATTTGACCCGCAAAGCAGCGGAGCGATGAGCCAAGAGCGTTGACAGCCGGGTAGTTCATCAATCTGTGTTCTGAAAAGTCCACAAAGAGTCCGGTGTCCACCGAGGTTGCTCATCCGCCTTCCGTTAAGTACTCCCTTCTATGACCAGAAGTGATTGGTCATTGACCCCATAGCCGCTCACAGTGGCTTTGACACAGCGCCGTACGAGGTCTTGTGGTATTTGATGGAGAACCAAGTGATCAGCCCAGAACTCCCCACGCTCTGAGACGTGGCCGCTGATTGTCCGCGGCTGTTTATTCATCTCGCCTGCAAGACAAACGATAATAATAATAATAAATAATAATGTGTCAGCTGTACGCCGTAACGGCGCTTCGCTGCCGCGCAACAACCACCAGTCGCGCGCGGGCTGATATACCGCGAGGACGTCCACCCCTACGCGGATTCGAACCGGTGACCTTATGGTTGCAAAGCAAACATGCAGTCCACTCGGCTACCGGCCGTTACCTCTACAAGGAATGCATTCTCCAATCGCCAAACTGGAGAAGCGCCCGGTAGCGTACATCTCCACCACGGAATATCATTCCTATAGCTAAGCGTGATTTGGTAGAAAAAGCCATACGGGAGATAGTATCCAAGGATTTGCTTCAGCAAATTAGCTGCTTCGAGTGGGTACATCCTATGTTCGCCGTCTTAAAGTAAGATGGTACTGTGCGCATGTGCAATATCTTAAAGGCGCTGTAGGGTCAAATCGTCGTCGAAAAAATTGTTCTTCTCACGGTTGAGGAGTTGTTGGCCAGGACAATTGGCGCTTGCTTTTTCTACGTACCGGCGTACTGCTGATCCACTTTTTGCTTAGGCGATATATATATATATATATATATATATATATATAATACACAATCTGTGGTACAGATATTGTGCCATCGGAATCATGGCTGAATAGGAAAACAGGCAGAATAATAAGAAAAGCGCAACAACAAAAGCTTTTTTTGTCTATTTTCCACTCACAGTTTTTGAAATTTTTTCAGTTTGTTCTTTTTTAGAGGGAGGAAGAAGGGACACCCCAACACACCGATGCACACGTCCGCCATTGACATCGATCTTGAGCCATAGCTTCCATGATCTTCAACCAGCAAGTATCCGCATCTCTCGGACCCCAACCAGATAGTCGATAACAACCGGCCGAGGCCAACTTTTTCGTGCAGCTTCTCCATATTGTAGGCTGTCAACCAGACCGTCTCTTCCAGCCCTGTCCAGCAACCGCAAACAACGCATGACGCGGGTAACGCTAGACAGGCATGCGCAATACGTGTCCCAACCACCGCAGTTGATGCAGTGAGAGGACCTCCTCGAGCGAGTGGCTTCCACGTCCCAAGACACACTGTCTAACTTCCACATTGCTTACGTGGTGCTGTCACCACACACGGGCAATGGACCGTAGACAGCGATGCTCGAAAACGGATAGCCTGCTCAAGTCATCTTTACGAATGGGCCAGGTCTCGCATCCGTACAACAGTACAGCACGAACAGTTGCACAATAGACCCGCCCTTTGATGGAGAGACGGATGTCGTGGCGGCGCCACAAATGCCTCAGCCTAGAAAAAGCGAGGCCTGCTCTCGAGATGCGCATCGAAATCTCGTCTCCAACAGCCCCACCAACAGTGATGCAACTTCTCAAGTAGACAAAGCTCTCCACAACCTCTATTGTCTCACCAGCAAGCGTGAGTGCAGGCAGAGGCACCTGCCAGTCTTGGAAGAGAGCCTTGCATTTGGATGACGAAAAGTACATACCGTACTTTGATGCTTCAATCGCCAAGCGGTTTAATGCAAGTTGGACGACGTGTGGATCGTCACCCAGCAAGACGATATCAACAGCATAATCCAAATCAACAACTCGACTACCTGGGAGGAGCTCAACGCCAGCGTTCAACGAATCGCCTAGAGCGTTCTTCAGGACATGCTCAATGGCAAAGTTGAATAGGAACGGAGAGATAGGGCATCCTTGTCGAACTCCACTGGAGACCACAAAGGTAGGCGAAAGCTTGCCATAAGCCCTAACCCTGCCCGAGGTCAGACTATAGAGAGTGCACAGTATGGTGGCGAACTTCTCGGGGACACTATTCCTCAGTAGACAGTGTCACAGTACCGTACGATCGACGGAATCGAAGGCTCCACAGATATCCAGGAACACAGCAATCGTTGGCCTCTGATACACGTGGCGGAGCTCGAGGATCTGGCGAAGTGTGAAGATTTGATCGATGCAGCCGCGACCAGGGCGAAACCCGGCTTGTTCTTCTCGTTGCAACGATTCGCGTGTTGGGGATAGTCTTCGAAGTATAATGGACACCAGCAGATTGCAACCGACGGGGAATAAACTTATTCCTCTGTAGTTGGAGCAGATTGTGCGCAGGCCCTTTTTGAAGATGGGGACGACTATCGATTCACCCCAAGATGACAGAACTTTCTCTTTCGACCAAATTTTCGAGAACAAAGCGATGAGTTCTCGGACCAGCGATGCGCTTCATGTGCCGGAGCTCCTGCTCGATTTTCTGGGAAGAGGGAGGGGGTAGACCACTCAGTCCCAGCGTGAGCGCCAGAGGTAGCAGATGGAGCTGGGGGCCAACAAAACTGCGAGCCAAAATGTTTGGCCCATCGTCGTTGAAGATTGGTGATTAAGGTGCCATCCTCTTCGCATATTGTTTCACTTATACCAGACCCGACACCTTCGGTGGCTCAAATGAGATGGGAAAGTTTTCTGTTATTACCAGAGAGACTAGCAAGCTCCATCTCCTTAGCACGTTCACACCACCAATCTTCGCGGTCCATTTGCAGAGTCCTGCGCAACTCTCGACCAAGGTATTGGCGTTCTTCACTGTGTCTGGAAT